GGTGGTCATGGACAATGTGGACACTCTTCATTCTCCCTGAAACCAAGTGTCTCCTGCCTTTTAATGAAGTTTTAAGCCTATGTTTACTGAACATTTTGAATTGTTTAAAATCTGTATTGACTGAGTGTCTCCAGACTAGGACTTGTGCCTTTGTTCCTGCTCCCACAAAGGGCGCTGCAGCTGCGTGTCTCAGGCTTCGGGAGGTCCCTTGGCGCATCCTTCCTCCTTCAGCTCTCTCTCCCCACCCCCAGCCTCTCCCAGTCCTCCCTCTGGTCCAGCACTTCTCACAGTCTTTGGTCTGAAAAATGAATGGCTGTTTCTTCTTTCTACCTGGCAGTCAGTGACCCTATAGTTTGTGAAATGATTCTGCCACTAAATTAGGTCACATCTGACACTCAGGAGAGATTTTCCACGTAGTATTGGAAGCAGCTTTCTCCGTGGCCTGATCAAGCTCCCGCCAGATCACCTGAGAGTGTGGCTCAGGCTCGAGGAGATTCTCTCCATTTCCTAGGTTTCCTCTGAAAAAGGAACACAAATTCCCGCTCCTCATTCTTCTGGATGGGGTGTATTTATTTGTTGAGCAAGCGCAGCGCAGAATTCCTGACACCTCATGTCAGAGCGTAAAGGAAGAAAGATGAGTTGGGAGAAGGTCCCATCCCCGTCGTCTCCTCTCATCACCCCCGCGTCGCTGCGGGAAGCTCACGGACCTCCTGTTACTTTACGTACCGAATTCTTATTGCTTATCTTTCATAGGTTCCGGTTTCATGAAAAATCCTGCATCCCGTCACAAGGAATGCTAAGCTTATAATAAGCAACGGCCCCGATGTCTGCACGTGCTTTGGATCTGTCCTGACTGCCTTTCTGCTCCGTTTCGGTTGCCTTTCCTAAACTGCCTATTTCCCCCTTCATACTGCAGGTCTCCGTGTTTTAATAAACGTGTGGCTGCACATTATATACTTCATATTTAGGTAGACTAACACACATATTTACCCTAAAAATGAAAGAGATGAGTCTAGGCTCTGGAATGACTTTATCCTCCGGGAAGTATTGACTTCTGAGGCTGGCGCTGAAACGCTAGGTGTTTATCACCTTCATCCAATCAGGGATGCGCTACTTGGGGTCTGGTCCGCAGGGTGCGCAGTTCCTTGCTGCTCCGAGTTCATCTCTTCTCCCGCAGTGAGGCCTCCTGACTGAGGGCTCTGGTGTGACTCAGGGTCCCTCCTTTTTTCCAGTCCTTGGGGCTCATGCTTCCCCCTGGCCATATGAGGTTGCCCCAAGCTCTGCTTGGCCTCAGCCTCTCAGCATCACCTTTCTTTCAGATTTTTAGCTCCTGACACAGCAAATGTGACGGGGACATTAAGGAGAGTCCAGCAGGGCTCACCTCTCTAGGGTTCACTCCTTCTTTTCTTGGCCCTTCACGTGCCTACTCCCTTGTGTCCATGCAGTCACCCCAGGGAGCAGAGGTGGAATTAATTAATAGGTGTTATCTGGAGTCTGTTGATGCTCCAAGTAGATAAATATTTGAGAGAAAGTTTATGAATCACAGAAGGAAACCCCAGTTAGAACAAGGTTGGCCCGAGCTGGACCAGACGGGGCTGAGAGAAGCAGAAAGTTGGCACTTAATAGGGCCAGGGAGGGATGGGGTAAAGTCCCCCTTGTGTGAACTGGGGCTTGTGAGTGTTGAACTTCCCTGTGGCAGCTGCACAGATTAGGAGCCGAGCAGAAGGCAGGAGGTACCGACTGAGAGATGTCACTG